CAACTGTTGAGTGGGCAGCCATTTTGTTATACTCCCAACTCATTCCCAAATATCTGTCCAAATATGGTGACTAGGTAGTTTGAATTTACTATCCTGAGCAGAAGGCTAGAATGAGTTAATTTGTTTTTAATTTGCTCAATTTTTTGCTCTTGTAGCAACTAACTCAAACATAGAAAATTTATGTCTGCCTTTCTGCTATATCTCAGCTTTCCCTTCCCAGGGAATTCCCCCACTCAACTCTCCCATTCATTTGACCCCATATTCTCTCTCAGAGTTATAAGACAGTTCACTTCTGATAGAGATTTCTAAAGTAGATCAGAAGAGGCTTCACAGGGAGGCAGTATTTGACCTGGCCTTTGAGAAATAGACAGATATTTACAGGCAGAGATGGAAGAAAAGGGAATTCCAGAAAAAAGCAACACTATGAACAAAATCGAGCAGAAGTTCCAAATTTTAGTATGTACTAGAATGATGCTGGGGAATGATAAATAACAAATCCAAGACAGTAGTTTCCTTTGCTGTGGGGACAAGGGAATATGATCAGGATATGAAGGAGACTTCAACTGTATTGGTAATATTCTATTCCTAAGCTGAGTAGTACATACATCTGAAATATTTCGAACTATATTTTCAAAAATAAATCAGCCTAAGAGGCTGTATAAAATGCAGAGTTCCAGGCATCAGTTCTGATCCAGTAGGCTTAGAATGGCACTAAGGTATCTGCATTAACAAGTACCTCAGATAATTCTTATACAAATGGTTCATGGACCACTCTGATAAACATAATGATAGCACTTCTTCTCCAAACAGAAAAAGAAAAATCAATAGCACCAGTGCATAAATCCCAGGGCTGAGAGTCAGAAGCCATGGACCATACTCTCTGTTCTCCTCCAATCTGCTACATGAGCCTTTGCTAGTAGGTTAACTTCTTTAAATACCATTTTCTCAAACAGAAAGTCACTCTTATAATCCTTGTTCAGCATGGTAAGGATAAAATAAGTGATGCCTGGTGAAACTTTGGAGGACTTTCTGGGAAATGCCATGGTTTCCAGAGAAGATAATGGTTTTTAGAAAAATAGTAACCTTTCCTTGAATCAAGACCTCAGTGATCTGTCTCCAGTGGTGATTTTCATTCAGCTTGAAGCATGTAGTTTGAGGACCTTACACGGAGAAAAACATTGGTGCCTGTCTGGGTGTGTTGCATTCTATGCCCTTAACCAAACAAAAACAAAAACAAAATGTCCAAGGTAGTAGTTCTCACTTGGGTTGGGGAAAGGGCACACATACACATCAGAGCCACGGGAAAGATTTTTCAAAACATGCAGCCTTCCACCTGTTGCTGTGTATATCCAAATGGGAAAGAGGACTGGAGAGTGGAGAGTCCACATTTTTTAGGCACTCCAGGTGATTCTGATATGTTCCCTGCTCTAGAAAGATTCTCAGCCTCCCTCAAGTAACCTGGTCCAAGATCTTACACTTTTTCCTGCCAAGAAGTTCCTTATATTTACTTCTCACCTATTTCTTCTTTGTTTAGCTCTCACTGCAGATAGAGGATAATTCACAAGCCTCTTGCAAATGCATACACAAGGGAATGTGAATAATGACTTTGTTCTCAGGGCCTGGGGGCCAGCTGGTTGGAAACCTCAGCCATCCCCAGGGTTGAAATAATCTCCTGGCCAGATGTTTCCTTCACCGGTTGGAGCAAGGCATGAAGGTCCCAGTGGAAGGCTCTCTGGACCCTAGGCTTGTCCAGCTGGATCAGCTGCAGGTGGAGCAAATGGGACCCAAGGGCCCCATCAGGTCACCTTGCTGAGTATGACTCAGGCCAGCAGCTCTTTATTTCTTCCTGTCTCTCCCACTTCCCACCGCTCATCTCTGTGGGCAGCCGCCAAACTGGGGAACAAGAGTCAGGCAGGGGGAGGGGATAGTTCTTAATGGATACTCCATCTCTTCAGTGGTTTGGGGTCTGGCAGAGATAAACCAGACCTGGAACAAATTGGCTCCTCCCCCTGATGTATTTCGGTTAATGCACTAGCTGCCGAGAAGCAGCCAGGCCTAGAGCAATAAAATCAATTCCCCTCAACTGAACAACAAGCTCAAACTTAACCCCCACAGCTCTTTCTCTTGTGTCTTTTATCCATGGAGCTCAAAATGCTGTTCAGGCTTGGCTTTCTGCCACTGGCAGAGCCCGTCTCTGAGGAGTCAGACCCAAGATCTCTGAAGATCCTTGGGTAATGGTCATATGCCAAGGAGATCCTAGAAAATATGATACATCCAAGCAGTCTTAACCATTCCTCCACAACTGAGGTAATCTTGACAGGCACTAATTTCTAAAAAAGAGGTAGAAATGACTCTTAGTTGACTGGTGTTACAGATGGGGAAGCTGTGGAAATTTAGCAATCTGTCCAATATTTGCTTGCCCAGGGATAAACTTTGTGGAACACCTTGGGGGTCTTGACCCTTTCCACGACTACTGTCAAATGGCATTTTGTTTTTGAACTTTAAAGACCCTCATCTAAGTGAAAATACTGTGACCATGTTCCTATGAGAAAAGGTCAATGGAGAATATAGAATGGCAGAATCATATGAGATAAAAATGGCATTGATGTTTTGACTTCCTCTGTATGACACCTGCCACTTAGTCAAAGTTCTTCCTCAATCAGTCCATGAATATCTAAATCTCTATTACCTACCCACATCTCCCCCAACAATTTCCTTTGAGTTTTTAGACCTAGGAGGTGGGATTAGCTAAAATGTGTCATATGGAGAACCACAAGGGTTTTGTAAAGGGTTTTGTAAAAGTCTCAGTCAAGCCAAAGATAGGAAGCAAGCTGGGAGTAGGAGCCACTGTTAATGCTTGGAGTCTGATGGAGGCAGTTTCTACTGGCCTTCTGATTCCTACCAGTTAGCATCTCCTCACTCTCTGCTGGAAACTCTTAGAAATACAAGTGAGGCTGAGTTGTCACTCTCAAGTCAGAAGAGAAAAGAACTTAGGGTGCTAACACCCCTGAACGGAAGCCTGAAAAAAAAGAAAAGGATGTGAATGAACCCAGCTCTCACGTGTCCAAATTATCCAAACATATACTAGACATTGCCTTAACTATGTGTTCATTCTTTCTATAGTTACTGAACACCTTCTCTATGGCAGGCATGGAGCTAGGCCCTGGAGCTATAAATATGAGTTCCAAAGATCACGTCTTTCTCCTGCCAGCTAGGTGTCACCTCTGAAATAATGTGTCCGTAGAAGTGCTGAGCTAGCTATAGCATGCCCAAGAATGCAGGTGAAAGGTGAGCCTGCTTAAGGTTCATTTGTGATATCCATGGAGCCCCCAAAAGGAGATAAAGTCATTGGCTTATACCAGCTTTAGACCAACCAGTAACTGGTTCTGTACCGTGGGTTTTAAGGAGAAGAAAGAAACTAATCTAACAACTTTCTATGTGGCCAGAAAACCATTAGCAGCTAAAGAGTGGAAAAATATAGAGAAAAGAGAGTCTAGAATGTTAATTCAGATTTAAATTTTTTACAATGAGTCTAAGGAAAGAGGGAACCAGAAAACATCACCTTAACTGGCACAACAAAAGAAATCTGGTGCTTTTCATAAGCAGGCCAGGAAACCACGATACCTCAGCTCACGGTTTCTCAACCTTGGCACTATTGACCTTTTTGGCAGGATACATTGTTGTTGAGAGTGAGGAGCTGTCTTGTCCTTGTGCATTGTGGAATATTTAACAGCATCTATTGCCTTTACCCACTGGATGTCAGTAGCACCCTCCTCAAGTTGTCATAACCAAAAATGTCTCAAAGACATTACCAAATATCCTTGGGGGGAGGGTGAAAAATCAGCCCCTGTTGAGGACCACTATCTTAGCTCATTACTACCGTCTCACTGCAAGGCTACCTGAATGTAGTCATCGAAGAGAAAAAGGAAAATTAGGATCTGGGCTATCTTGCCAGTGAACAAATTCAAGGAAAGAAGGGACGTGAACACAGGAGAGGTCCCTGTCATTTGCCCACAGCAGCAGAGCAACTTAGTGAAAGAGCTAGAAGTGGGATCCAAGTTTCCTGGCTCCAGTCGCCCACACTGTGCTGCTAATGGAAATGATAATGAATTAAATAATGATTCTAAAACTTCATGAGCAATAATAACAAACTTCAGCAATAGGTTCTACCAGCACTTTTTCCTAGTGTCTCATCCAGTTGTAAAAAATACTCATATATTCACACACGTATTTGCCTGTCTGTCTAAACTTGCTTTTTCTTCTAATACAGTTCAAATTAAACTGCTCCTATTGCCTTCCTGCAGTCTACCATTTCTGCATTTTGCTCTTTCCTAGCCCATCTACACCCTGCCAGCATCCCAGGTCTCCTGCACTAAATTTAGAGGGAGCCTAAAGGAGAGAAAAGATAATTAGGGTCAGTCAGGGCCATAAGAAACCTGGATAGACTGCTAATGGCTACCAGACAGTGCTAGCCTTAGATGTAGGCCTAATAATCAGTGACCTACAGTCTGTCTGGTACCGAGCATTTCACTATTAGAGATGTATTTCTTTGATGGGGACTGTACATTAAACTCTTGTTAGTAATAGCACCTATGTGTATCAGATCACTGCCCTCTGAGATAACTACCAGAGATCAGGGATCTCAGAGATAAAGTTTATTTTGGAGCAGTAATACTAGAGTATACGTTGCTGCTCCTGGAAAGCAGACCTGGATAATATTCTTAATTGGGAACCCTGTAGGAAGAAGAAGGTGATGAAAATGAAGGTTAAAAACCAGATATCAACTCTGTCTACTAGCCAATTTTGCTGTGAATAAAAGTATGATGTAGATTGCACTTTGGGGAGTCCTAGACTAGGTGTTTCAAAGGAGTCCCATTTATAGCCTTAGATTTGGACAAAGGGGAGGGGATGAGAATTGATTTCCCCATAAGGCAATACATCCCACTCCCCACTCCCCCTGCAGAGCTTCCCAACCTACCCAATCCCAGCAACATTCTTACCTCCCACAAACTGCGCTGCTCCCATGCAACGTCCCATCATCCTGGAGATGAGCTCCTCCATGCAGCAGCCCAGGACAGCAGCCAGTGCCACCAGGAGCAGCAGAGCACAGCCGGCACCTGTCACCACCGTGCACATCTGCCAGGCCAGGCTTGGGATGGCACTGAAGCTGGCATAGCGCCCACACTCTTCCACCATGATCAGACTGTGCCCCTCTCCCCGCACAGGGTAGTTGCACCTCCGGAATGTGCTGAATGACACTGGCTTCCCCAGCTGGAATCCAAAGAGCCAGTAAGGCAGGAAGTAACTGGTAGAACTGGCCACAGCGGTAACAAGGGACAGGAAGGCCCAGAGGGTCCCCACCAGGGTCAGGCTGCTCCTCATGGTCCCAGGTTTCTCTGCAGGGATGGGGAGATGAGTTGGGTCACAGCACCAAATGTAGAAAGTTATCATGTAAGCTCCATCGGCCTATTTTTTATCTGGCTTGCCAGTCCTGGGACTCATTTATATGCCACTTGGCCCTTGTTTCTGGATAAGATTATTCTCTCAAGGACCTTTTGGGTCTTTATGGGATTCTGCTTTCCAGCAATTTTCCCATCTTCCCTTCCTTCTGCCTGATTCAGAGTTCTATGGTCTATAGGCCGCAATGGAAGAACCATAGAACTGAATTAGTGACTGCTCTGTCAACTCAAATGCAGCCTGATCAGATAGCTTTTAACTCTTGACATCCGGCATGGAACAAGTGGCAGGAGGAAAGCCTGAATGAAATCAAGGCTGCCCAGAAAGCCCTCAGCTTCCAGTAGAATGGCATTGTTGGCCTGGAGGCCTGGAAGAAAGTGATATCTCAAGAGAGTCAGGAACCAAGTTGTTTTCAGAGAGTGAAGGAAGAAAGAAGACAACTGACAGAGCCTGCCCGTATTACAAGGGAGAAGAGGGAAGGAGAGCTCACCATGAAGTTATAGGGTGTGCCCATTTGACCTAGGTAGGATGTCCACCAGTGCATTAATGTGGGCTTTTTACAGGGATACATCAGCCGGGTTGAAATGGGTAGAATAAAATAAGGGATGCCTCGTCTCCCACTGTATGCTTATCACTGAGCAAGCACTGTTCAGTCACTTTTTCCCAAAATCAAAATGGGAGGCAACTTTCCAACCAGCGAAAGTTATTTAACTCTAGACTGGCTACTAAGAAAAGCTGCCTTGTTCTTTGCTGAATATAGTCAAGAAAGCTTCTCATCTCTCTGAAATGGATCAAGTACCCCCTTCCTGGCAACAGGAACATATATATATAGTTGTAAGAACCTTTCAAGGTGCCTTTTGGAACAAGTAATCTCAGATTCAAGATGCTGAGAATCTTTTCAAATCTAACCTCCTCAGCCTAGCTCACAAATGGCTTTCACAGAACCCTCTGTCAAAAATCAACCACTTCCCTCCAAGCTCCATTAATCTGCCATTGCTTTCTGGCCTATTTCTCAATTAAGTCAGCCAGAGACCACACCACAGCTTGATGACAGCATTGTGAATGTCTCCAGCAGGCAGATGGTGGAGTATGTTTCAGAAACTTCTCCATGATTCATCACCATTTTTTAAAGTTACAGGTGGTGGGAGAGGGGTTCAGGGTGGGGGGCTCAGGGCAAGGGAAGTGCAGGAACTGGCTGTATGGGGCCACCACATTGTCAATTTGGGACATTGTTGGAAGCAAGCAGCAGTTGTACCCAGGGTCTCAGGGACTGTGCCCAGCCATGAGCCCTTTCACAATCATCATCAAACAGTACCTGGCACAGAGTAGGCACTCCAATTCATGTTTGTTTAATGAAACCCATTTGATAGAAGCACCCAATTTCTAGGCTGGCAGGCACCTTAATGAATCACGTAATTCAATCTTCTTGTTTTATATATGCGGGAGTATGGCCCAGTAAAGGGGGAGATTATTTCGCCCAACTCACAGAGTAAGTTAGCAAGCAGCAACATCAAAATAAGAAACTCGATCTGCAGATTCCTAGGCCAGTACTTTTCTACCACAGAGTGCTAATTCCTCCTCCCCCAACACTTTACAGATGGGAATATGGAGAGGAAGTGATTTACCCAAGAGTAAAGGGCTAGTGAGGTACACTGGCCAGACCAGAGCCCAGTTATTTGACTCTTAGTAAAATGTTCTTTTTTTTCACTCCGCCACAATTCCCCTCCTGATACATATGTATGGTGTGCTATGTGTTTTGTGCAGGAAGGGAGCAGAGATCATAAATTACAGGTGCTTACTTTGGAATGTTAGGGCTTGGGAAGAAAGTGCCCTGAGCTGGGCCCCTGGGAATGAGGCTTTGTGCCTGAGAGTGGGGAGAATGAGAGAAAGCTGTGATGAGGGATTGAAAGCCAACAGGAGGAGAAGTAGAACTAGTTTTGAGTAATTGCTGTTAGAAAGCAGGTACGCTTGACTGCAATGAGGTAATGCCTCTGCTTGTTATATTAGAGTTTGTAAGATTATGAAAAGTGAAAGTAGCCTTCTTTTATGGACTCACTTCCGGGTGAAGAAGCCCAGGCCAGAGGATGAGAGGAAACAAGCTGATAAACAGCTGTTGGCTGCATCATCATGTTCCCTTCCAAGTCCATTATTTCAAGTGCTCTGCCCAACAATCTTTTTAGGTTGGTAAGAAAGGGCAATTTACAAAGGAGCAAATTGAAAGTCAGAAAGCTAAGTGACTTGTACAAGGTTACACAGTGATTCAATGGCAGAGCCATCATTTCCCACTTCTCCTTTACCCGAAACCTTCCCCTACATACTCCTTCATCACCCCAATAATATCACAATGAAAAGCCTCCATGGTTTCTCAACCAGGATTTCAAAAATTGTTTAAGGATGGGGAAAGAATTAGAGAGGAAGACAGGGAAGGTAGGAGGAAGGCCACTTTCTCTAAGAGTGTGTAAACCAGCAGAACAAGAGCATTAGCTGTTATAAACTCAGTAATTGTAGTCAGAACTAACCCCGTATGTTTCCCATGAATGTTACCATCTTGAGATCAAAAGTCCCAGGATGACAACCAGTAGAAGGGCAGAGAACTTAAGTCAGAGAAAAGGACTATACTAGTGAGTGGTACCTAGACTATACTAGAAATAAGAGGACAGATTCTGGCATAAGGTTATCATTATATGTGACAAATCTGACTGCTTAAAAGTGCTACCAACCACTGTCACCATAATTTCACTTAAAAAAAGGCATTTTGAAGCAAAGATATAGGAAGGCAGAATCACAAAATTCAGATTAAATTAAACACATTTAGCTTTACAAAAATTCATTGACTTTCAGAATTTAATTAAATACTTTCAACTTCAGGAAAAACTCATTGTCATTATTTCATTTAGAACTAGGATGACCAACCATGCCAGTTCACCTGGGATTGAGGGATTTCCCAGGATGTGGGACTTTCAGTGATAAAACTAGGAAAGTCCCAAACATGGATGAGTGAGTCACCCTATTTAGGACTGGAGGTGTGGTGAGCCAGCACCATCCATGGACAGCAGGTTGAGAATCACTGCCACAGATAATTCTCTAATGTTCTCTCTCCAGGACTCAAAAAATATAAAGCTAAAAGTGACCATGGAATTAAACAATAAAGAGATGAAGCCTATATTTCTAATGTAAACCTTTCTGAATCATAGACTTGACCTCATGCAGTCAAGGAAGAGATCTCAGTGATCAAATTACTCAATATTTTCTGAACACAAATAAGCTCTGGCCCAGCTTCTCCTGTGGCTGGATAGGGAGGCAATGGCATGCATGTTGCTACGTGTTCACATGTGCCAGGCAGGGAAGTGCATTCAAGCAAATGCTTTTATTTCTTGCATTGCCTGCAATGGAGTAACCTCCCTTCATGACAGCCCTTCAGAGCAATCCAAGTTCATTCTCAGGAACTAGTCAAGTCTCTTTGCATTCACATAAACAAAAATCACACACAATGACACAATGCTATACTTCATTCTATCTTTATTCCTCTTGTATATTTCATGTGTTCAATAGCTTTGTTTCTCTATCCTGGAATGTTTAGCCACACAGCCATACTGGATTTCAGAAACCAAGAACTCACCCTGGTGCTCCTGCTAAGTGGTCCAATAACCAGGCATTGATAGGATTGCTATTGATCTTCTCACTTTAGGTGTTACATTGTCCCTCATCCCTTAGTTTCTCCATCTCCTAAATGAGTCACATACCTTTTTCTGAGAGTGGTTGAATGGGATGCAGTGAGTGATGCAGAAAGTTGTAACAACCACGGTTGAAGCGTTAGGTCTATTCTGAATTTACTGTCTTTACTAAAGAGTAATGTTCACTAATATTTAGAGATATGGTAGTCATTCTAACACAGAGTCATGGCTAGAGATCACTTCAACCTATATGAGGCAGGGAACTCACCTAAGCTGTACATGTCAAATGTTTATCTATACTGCTTTGAAAGAACTCTAGACAAGAAGACTACAATTTTTCTTGGTAGCTTAACCACTCTCACAGTCAATAAATTATTTGTTATGACTCATTTTAAACCTTTTCTGCTGCAACTTAAGGCCAGATGAGAGCACTTCATCAACTCAGATTGCTAGTAGCTTACCTTTAGCCTTTTTTCCCCAAAATGAGCACTCTGCCTCTCCCTGTGGTGTCTAATTGCCAAGTCTTTAAAGATTTATTCTCACTTTTCCACTCTCATGTGTACCTACTCCTATGTGGGTACATACTTAGTATCAATAAAACTGGAAATTTTGCTCTTGTATTTTTCTTAGTGGAGAGAAACAAACAAAATCCTTCCTCTTCCTTACCTCTTCCACAGTTCCCACAGGAAAAGACTCAAATCCCTTTGTTCCCACTTAAGCTTGTCATATAAGTTCTGAGTTAAGGAAAGTACTACTTTACTAGGGGTAACAGGGTCCAGGCAAAGCAGCCAGCAAGTTAATGGCTAGAACATGAAGTGGTCAGAAAGGGAGTCTCTGACTTGCAGCTGCTGAGAAAAATGTGGCTGAAAGACTACTGGTTTCAGACTGGTCTGCGAGAAGCAGCTTTGTTGGCACTGGTGTTGGCAAAGGAATATCAACAGGCATTTCTCCTCAAGCCCCCAGACTGTGTGCATTTCCTACCTGCCAACCCTGTTACAAAGACATCAATCATATTCAGTTCTGAGACTTCCCTAGGAAATGAGCAAAATACACAGGCATATGTTTGCAGTGGGTAAATAAAATTCTGCTCCAGAGACAGGTCTTTGCCCAATGTGACTGCTTGTATCAAGTTGGGTATATATGCAGCCTGACCATTCTAGATCTTTCTGCTTCAGACACAGCCTCAAAAAGAGTCCACTACCACTTTCCAAATATTTCTCTCCTGGTTTTCTGTCACCGGAGTCCCTCAGTTTTTCCTTCCGTGTATTATCTCCACAGTGGGAGTTGCTCCAGGTTCTCCTATATAGCTACTCCATAGGGCTTTATTTCCCATTTGTAGCTACTCCAAGGCTTTATTTCCCATTTGTGTCTCAGTGACTCAAGAAGACCTCACTTTTCTTAAGCTTTATTGAGGTATAATTGATATATGAAAAGTTGCACACATTTAATGTATACATCTGGATGAGTTTGGACATACGCCTACATTTGTAATACCATCACCACAGTCAAGGTACTAAACATATTCATAACCTTCAAAAAGTTCCTTGTATTCTTTTGTGGAGTTTGTGTGTGTGTGGTAAGAACACTTAACATGAGATCTATCCTCTTAACATATTTTAAAGGGCACAACACTGTGTTGCTAACTATAGGCACAGAGTTGTACAGAAGATTTTTAGGATGTATTCATCTAGTGTAACTGAAACTTTATACCCTTTAAGTAACAATTCCCCATTTTCCTGTTCCTGCAGCCCCTGGCAAACCACCATTCTACTGTCTGCTTGAGAAGACCTCACTTTTGACTTAAGCCTTGTCTTCAAATTCTTCAGATTTTGTGCTTGCTGATCCTCTTCCTAAGACTTCCCCCTCCTTCCCTCCTCTTTTAGTCTGGAGTAGAAAGACTAGCAAAACTATCTATGTTGGGTTTGTCTATTTATTTCTTTGCATCTCTCCATCCTGCAGTGGAGATGCTCGCAAGCAGGTAAGGCATTAGAAGGCAGTAAGCCAGAGAGTAAGTGGATAGAGAGGACCAATCAAGTCATCGACAACCTAGAAGGTCAATTCTAAATAATCAAGTTGGCCATGAAGAGACAGAGAGAGCCGCTAAAAAGAACCTCCACGTCAGGTTGTGGGCTATTACCTTTCTCCAGAGTTTGTGGTTGGAAAGGTGGGAATTGGAATGATTGCCCTAAATTTCATATGAGCTTCTCCCTTCCCTGCAAAACAATTCTGCTCACTGAGCTCCCCATCTGTCTTCTGCTTTGGAAAGCGAGGTGCCAATTAGAAATCTTTATTCCAGTTCTTATTTTGGCTGGACAGGTGCCACCACCTTTAGTGATCACTTGGTTGGCTAGGAGTACTATCTCACACCTCCCATCAGTTAGAAAATATTAGTACCAGCCTGCTCTAGCCAAACACTGTTAAGCCCTATCAGCAGTGGACTAATTGGTAAAGCATTCCCCCATACCCTTAGGTTCATAGCCCCAGCCTTGCTATCATTGCCCAGTAGTCTCTCTACCCATGGCCTCAACAAGGAATAAAATGCCACCACAGCTGACTACCTCCATTCAGTGAATCTGGCCAGTGTAGGAGGAAGGTGGGCTGAATGTTTCTCCAATCACTTCAGCAGATATGAGAGGCAGCACAGCATATTAAAAGTGTTACCCAAATCGGGGACCCTCACCCCTCTCCATCAGAAACACCTTCAATGCTTGTTCAAAATGCAGACTATGACACTCCTTCTCAGATTCACTGAATTAGAATTGATGAGAGTTGCATTTTTTAAAAATCCTCAATTGATTCTCATGGGAACTAATGATTGAAAAATACTAAGAGTCTAGATTTTTGAATCAAATCTGGGATAGGGTCCTGAGGTCTGCCCCTTAACAGGTTATATGAACTTGAGAGGATCACTTAAAATCTCTAAGTTTCAGTTTCAACTATAAAATGGAGATGATGGAACATAAAGTTCAAGTGCAGTAACATCTGTGGAATACCTAACACCAGGATAGGATTCGAGTCTCTCCCCTACCAGAGAAGACTCCATTTTCCCATAAGTAATAGAGAAGACTTGAAGTCACCTAAGCAGTAGAATATCACTCCTCTTCCTTCTCTCTCCCCCAACCACTCTCTCAGTGATTTCACCTCACCCCTAGGCTTCGTTCTGCTTTCAGTTTTCCACCATAAAGTGGAACCACTTGGCCCAGTGTTCTTTTCAAGAATGGATTTATAGCTAAAATATTTCAAGTTTTTCTGGAAAGCATCATGCTTGGCACATAGTAGGAACACATAAACATTTACTGAGTGAATGTGATCTTTTATTTCCAGCTCACTGACTTTAACATCTGCATTTCAGTTTAACCTCATCAACCCATTTCAGTCCCATAACCTCAATTGAGGCAAGTCTAAGAGATCAACATAGCACATCGGCAAACCGGATCCACTTTTGCTTCTAATAGACAAGTCAGAACAAAATCCCTCCCTCTGCTCCCAGAGACATGGACTTCCTCTCCTCAAGTTACCAACTCTCCTGGGGAAATCAACTAGCATTTAACCCTTAGGTCCTCAAACCATGTCAATATGAAATAGGAATCCAGCTCTGATTCCTCTTAGCCTCTGTGCAAACAACAGACTACCAGGAAGTAAAAATGTACCAGGCTGCCTTTGGGAAGAAAACAGCTTCTCTGAGCTGTGAGATGAAAGGACAGGAAGCTGAGAAAGGAAAGGTAGAAAGGGGGGCTGAGCAAGGGGAGAGCAAAGCAGTTTCTCATCCAGCTGTTTCAATTGCATTTGGCCCAAGTTGCAAATTTACCTTCTGACCACGAAGGCTGATTGACTTGTTCCCTCTCTTCCGACTCAGATCTGAGAAACAACTTCTCCTCACAGCTTGTCAGAAGGGGATGGGAATCCCAGCTGCTCTTTTTGCAGTGATGCCTGAAAACCTTGTTTTACCTTTGAGAGAGAGGGGCGGAGTCCAACCTAATGGGAATTAACTCCAAACACGCTGGAGGCTTCAAATCCAGCCTCGGACCTGCAGGCACTTGAAGTAGCTTATCAGGCACTGAGTCTCCCACCTCCATCCTCACAGCTGCCAAGTCAGCAGTGTGTGTGAGTGTGAGTGTGTGTGTGTGTGTGTGCGCGCAGCCGCATCCGCACTTGAACTGCATTATCTATCTCACTTCCTTACCAGCTGCCCTAATGCCTGCTGAGGAATAGAGGTTCTCTCTAACTTTCCTCCAAAACCCTAAATAGTCTCCACCATATATATTAGGTAGCAGACATCTGCAGCTGTAAACGACTCAGAAAACACATGCCTGAACGGAGTATGACAGAATAACCTCTTTTCCCCAAACTGATTTACCCTGTCTGACAGGGAAGGTGCTCCAACAGAGCAATCCATGGCTCCAAGATGTAACAAGTTTACATTTAAGAAACTTAAAATCACACATTGAAAAGGCTAAATAATACCTTTTTAAAAATAATGGTACTAACAAAAGTCAGTATCTAACTTATCCCAAAGCACCAATAACTGCTTTTGTGCTTGGGAAAAGAGCTGAGAGTTCTGGAGATTAATGGAGCTTTGCCTGACGCTCTGCTCCAACCTGATGTCATCTCTCCTACCTATAAATGTCCCTGGCACTCCATATTTATTTGGGGAAACATTACCTTCTACTTTGTATTAGTTTTTTGCATTTGTGTCTCATTTCCCCTCCTAGATGCCTTGTGAGCAGGAAACTTTGCGGAATGAAATGAGTTGGAAGGAGGAATAGTAACTAGCTTAACTTAATAGAGCATACAAGACATCCAAAGTATCTCTGCTTCTATAACGGCCCACTCACCTTCCCAGAACGCCATAAAGGTTATCAGGCCTGTTTTCAAGCATTTTGTGGCAATAATTCAAAATACGAATGTAAATGAGCTAGCAGTTTAACACATTCATTGTACCCTGATTATTTAATGAAGTTGCTAAAGTTTTTCCTGCCTGCTATGGATACAAGCAGGCATCCTGTCTTTTATCAGTGATATAGCCTTATATTCATGCACGCATGCATTTCTCTATTTTGCTACTTTCCATCAGCAATTTTTAACCATTTTTTTTCTGCCCCACACACTGATAAACCACATTCCCATCTGTAATAACGGCTTACTAAAGCAGTTTCTGAGGGAGAGAGAAATGATCCCCTAGATGGAATGTCAAATTTTAGGCAATGTAAGCTCCCGAGATAAGTTTTATAATCTCCTAGTTGGTGTCCCCTTAAGAATTACTGCTTCAGATATAAGGCTATATAAAAAGAAATGCTAGATCGTCGTTAAAAATGTCAATATTAATAGACACATAATAACTGAATGTGAGATATAGCTGAAAATTTTGACATAACACAAATATTCGATTCCACTCTATGCACCAGTAAATATTGCCCTTTGCTTAGTGGCTACACCTGTCATTTGGGAAGCTGATCACTATTTGCAACTCTGAGAAGACCCATTTTTACTTACCTCTTGTTATCCTCTTTTCCTTGGGCCTCCAGTTCCCTTAAGTGGAAGAATAAGGAAACTTAAATGTATGCTAAATAATTATCTAATTTATTGGGTAAAATTTTGTTTCCTCTTATTAGTTTCACAGTTGATAGTTCTTTCAGAAAAAAAAAATTACTTGCATTTTGTGGCTCTTGATATTTTTTTCACTTAAAAATGCTCTTTAGCCCTGCTTTCATAAGATTACATGGGAAGGATTGAGAAGGGAATACTTCTATTTTTAATAAAGCTAAAATGAGTGTTGGTCAGGGACCCAGGGAATACCTAAATTCTGCCTTTGTTCAGTCTGGAATAGGATCTTGAAAAGACAAGATATGGTGACAGGTAATTCTGATACATATCCGCACTCCCATCCCTAATTTGCAAAACTCTGCTCTATACAATAGAATTTCCCAAGCAAAATCAACACTCCCACAACATTTTGCAGTCTAGACAAGAGGTCAGTCAGAGCCTGTGCTATGCACCAAATCCAATAGGCTGCTTGTTTTTGTAGTTTTTTTGGCACCCAGCCACAACTTATTCATTTATGTATCATCTATGGCTGTTTTTAAGCTACAACTGCAGAGCTGAGTTGTTGTGACAAAGATCTTACAGTCCACAACGCCTAAAATATTTACTGTGTGGCTCTTTACAGAAAGAAAAAATGCTGACCCCTGGTTTAGACCCATACCGATAGATTATAGTAGAACCATTATGTTAATTGTTAGGAGAAAAGGGTTGACAAGGAAGAGGGGGGTGAAAGTGAAGTAAAGAGAAATGCTGCTTGCTTTCAGCTTTGTTAATGGGCTAGTCAACCCTCTCCAGTTCTTTAGAATCTGTGAAGTTAACAACACACTAGAAATCAGTATAAGCCAAATAGTCGGTAGCTGGTGAAAATGTATTTGTCTGTTAACTATCCTTTGAACTTATATTTATGTTGTTCTCCAATATATTTCACAGTTTTTTTTTACTGACAACTTTATTGAGATATAAGTCACATACCATATGATTCGCCCTTTTAAAGTGTATAATTCAGTTTTTTAGCATATTCACAAAGTTGTGCAATCCATCGCCACTATCTAATTCCAGGACATTTTCATCAACCCCAAAACAAGCCCCACACTCATTAACATATATTTTAAGTTATTTTTTTCTCTTTCGTCAGAACTGCTTCTTCTTTGCGGGCTAATTTTTTTCTAATAAAGTTTCTTATTACTATGGGTGTAGGTTGTGTTCTTGTCTTACAAGAAGGGACCATTTATTTCTAGAGTCATTTCTAGAGTCCCGTTGCCCTTGAACTTTGGAGAGTTTGCATATAAGTGCTTACAAATTTAAAAGCACATAGACTCCATGACCTGTCACCCATGCAAGTTGAATATGGAATGTACACCTTGCCTATACTATAGTTTCAGTTCTAGACTGAAAACCTAAAGATGAAACTTATGTTTTTTTAATATAAAAATCAGAACTGACAACTCCTTTGTTCAGTTTCCTTATTGACCTCAGAGGATGACTTGATAGTGTTAACTGGCAATGTGGTGTGCTAATAGATGTTTAATAACTGGCTTCAGGTGGCAGGGGGAGCAAGAGAGCCCTGATTTGTGGCATTTGCTGATTCCCATGGTGTAAATACTCCCACCATGGCCAATTTCAAGCTACCAACTTGAAGTCAATGAAAGTAGAATTGGGAAGATATATACACAATCTACATACTCTCATGAGCTGGTACAAACCAGTTTCAGCACACATCAGGAACTCAGATTCAAGAAATTACTTCAGTCTTGGTTTATGTAGATTTATAATGTACATACGATATTAACCAAGATAGGATAGCTAACATAGTTGTTTCATATGTTGCACATAGACTTCTCCCCACTATACAATGTGTTAGCTGGCACTGAAATATTTCAAAAATATTTTGTTGCACCAACTTTTAAGCTTTTAGAGTGCAATTTGTGTTTTATTCAAAGATAATTGTTCATGGATCTTGCTGCCTGCTTTAACAACTTTTGAGAGAGGATCTTTATTATATTTATAATAGATGAAAAATAAACCAGATTGCGAATCCCTTTTCTTTAACTTAAATCATGTACCTTATTTTGGGTCCAAATTGTATAGTGTAAGTTACACTAAATTGCGTTATTTTAACCACTATGAGTATCTTTCTGTAAGCATATTTATATTGAAATAAACTTTTAAAAAGACAAAAATATGGAGAAAATTTCCATCAATATGTTAAATGAAACTCTTAAAAAGTCCTGTATACCAGGTAGAGAGGATTCATCACCCATGCTAACCGTTGCCCTCTAAGAGAAAGGCAACCTGTCAACAATTACTGACTAATTGCCAACATGTACCAGGCTGTGTTAGGCGCTGGAAGCAGAAGGATTAAGAAGATAGAGTCCCTGCCCTTATGAAGTTTACATTTTACTCAAGGAGATGGAAAATATTAAACAAGCAAGCAAATATGATAATAACGGGCAGTGATAAATACAGAGGGATTAAAAAATAGTGATATTGATAGAATAATGGGGGTGAGGGAGACCCACCTTAAATAGAGGAATCAGGGAAGGCTTCTTTAATGTGGCATAGAGCTAAAAACTTTAAGGATGAGAAGTAAGGGGAGGAGCTGGAAGAAGATGGGACAAGATTGTAAATTCAAGGGCTCTGAGGAGAGGAGGATTGTGGCACGTTAAGGAACTGAAAGGCCAGTGGGGCTGGATCTTGTTGAACCAACCAGAGAGTGGTACCTTGTAAGGCTGAAGAGGTAAACAGAGGGCATATCATGCAGTGATTTGTAGGATTTCCTTGTAAGTACAGTGGCAGGTTAGGGGCAGGTCTTCCAGGAGCTCAGTGTGGCACAAAAGAAAAATAGACTGCAAACATAGGTAACTGTGGCAAAATGGTATAAAACCCTAGCCTGCTGATGTGGCCGGTCTCCAGCTTCTAAGCCTCTAAGTCCACTCAACTTCAGAAGTACCTCTATGAAAACAGAAGCAGCTACAGGAAACAATGGCCATCAACTCCTATTTTTATCTCAGAGTTTCCGAGGTACTAATGTTCACAAATTTGTTAGTGGTAAACTGAGGTTTACTACTTAGGCCTGGGGTTTACTACTTCATTATTTAGGCTACCTTGACCTGGTATGAATCATTATGCTCACCAGGCTTGGTGAGGACCCTTGAACCTTGACCAAGCTTTCCGGTCTGGCCTAGTTCAGAGCAATGAGGAGCCACTGCCTAGTTTAAAGCATTATCTGATTCATATTTGAAAACTGTCTTGTAAAATATAGAAATTTGTAACATTGGCATTTCCAGGCCCCACGTCTTTCTCAAAGCTTTCTTCTTCTCTCAGTGATCGTCTTGCATTTACAACCTCCAAATTTCACTTTTCATTTCCCTTTTGGCCCCTGCATTCAAGGTACTTTGATGCTGAACTAATTATGAGATTGATTTGCCTAGGTACAGCGGGTCCACTCTCTCATGCTCCAATTAATCCAAGTTTGACTAGAATTCTATTCCTAGGGCAGTGTCCTTAATGATGGTCCAGATAGCTGAAAGAACAAATCGTCTCCTTTCAAGTCTCTCAACAGTATTTCCTCTGTCATTCT